TATATATATATATAATACTTATACCAGCGACTTTTCCATCCGGCTGCAACAGTGCTGCAGCACTTCGGTTGAAAGCTTTTATCATTGCTTTCATCATTCTCGTAGTTTCTTGCTTTATTCTGTCCACACATCCAGAATGCTAATCGTCTTCCTCGATAATAAGAGAATATACAATATTTATACAATAATAATAAATATATACAATATTACCTTGATGGACCGTTTAATCGAGCGCGTCGAAAGAAAACAATTGGATCCATCAAGAGTTTTTTATCACGATATTCAACATTACAACCATAAAATAATAAATGTAGTCAGTATGATCAGTAATTTGATTCTCTCCTAGAAATTTTTACAGACGTGGACGTATTTTCGACGAGACGATCTCGAATGATTTTTACGCGAAACATCAACAAATTATAGAGATTTCCTTTTCGTTTTACTTTGTCAAATTTATCCTTTTAAATCGTCGATAGTTCTAATGTTAATCATCCGCCCTGTGTGATAATACTTCTTCTTACTCCCCACAAATGAAAAATATCACGCGAAGGCCAGAATTTGAGGAGGAGCAGACGCAATAAAACAAAGAAACCAGGATGACGAAAGCAATTTCAACTGAAGAGCTGCAGCCCTACTTGTTTCGCTTTGGATGGAAAACGTTCATGGAGCGAGTGTGCACATTCTTCGTATATAAGTGTATATATACATTCTTACATTTTGAAAATGAAATCGTCAATTTGGAACGAATAATCACGCAAGCGAATCTTACAAAAAAATATACATTCAGCAATGTTGGAGATGAAGATTGCAAGCTTGGGCAAATAATTACGTCGAAAGACGAGATCGTACATTTGGAGTACGAGTAATTTTTACAAAGATATATTTAGCAATGGTAATTTTGTAAGACTGTGCTTTACAATTTATTCATTTTTTTACTCGTAGAAAAAAATAAATAAATAAATTCCGCGAATTCTTTTTCAGCCAACATCACGTACTTCTCATGTTTTATTGCCTTTCGATCAGTACTTCCGGTCGTTCGATTACCTGCAGTCTACCGTATCTCGGTAGCGCCAAGATCCCGGACCTAGCCAGATCGATGCCGGACAGTCTGAGATCGTTGAATCGGCCGATCCCCGCGGCGTGTCTCATCTCCAAAGGGAACGTCACGTGACTGTCCAATTCCGGTATCCGTTTTCCAACCCAGTTCTCCGCCGTTTCCCACTCCAAATCCGGAAGCCAATGTTTCTCCACGCCGGACGCTGACTTTGCAACGATCAACAAGAAGCGGAGAAACGCGCGGATCTTTCGATTCTCACCAACACTGCCCATGATAATCAAAACTCGATCG